GTTGGGGAAAGAAATTGTGATTATTTGGAGTGAATTTCCAAATGTGGATGTGCTAAATAAAGACACACAATATCTAATAAGTGGCAAATCAATTTACAAGAAAACAACAAGAGGAAAGCCTGCGAAGTGGGCGGCAACTGTGGTGGCAATATATTCCATGGTCTAATTTCTCTATCAACATGTGTAACAACGAGGTGGTTAAAGTTAAACCGACCGTGACATTTATTTCCCCTCTACTTTCCAGGAAAGCTTTTGGGATGCGAGACCCCGTTGGCTACCGGGAGTGAGGGAAGCCTTCAGTGCCGTGGGTGAAGCATTGGCTGAAATACTGGCTGATTAGCAGCTGGCGCTGCCTGTGCTGATGGAGCCCGCTGATAACACAGTCCTGTTTGACCGGCTCCGAAAAAAACAAAACAAATGTTTTGGAAGCAGCTGACATTTTCCCCCACGCTCATCCCTCGACTAAGAGGCCTCTTGACTGCAGCAGCTCTGTCGGTATCAAGATCAGATAACGTCAAATTGTAGACACAGACACACACACACTGACACACACGCACACATTAGCACACAGTGTGAACCAGCTTAACTGTTGTCGTCCCCGTTTTTCTCACCGGGGGAAAGTTAACATCAACAACTTCGGTCAGAAATCGGCGTCGTGCTCAATGAACTTCTGTCTCCTTGGTGACGCCTGGTGGAGATGCTCCTTTGCCCGCGTGCGATCTGCTAGTCAAACTCCCACTGTAGTTGTTTCTGTCAGTATCAGTTCTTCACATTGGCCACCTGTTGCCCTCGCTGTCTCTTTGACAGAAATGCCCAATGATTTATTAAAGAGTGTTTCTGAATGATCGCAGTATGAGCGATGACAGTCGTGATAACAACTGGGAGTAGCTGCGAGTCCAACACCACAGGAAAGCAGCAGCCTCACAGTAAAATCCCCTCTAGTCCTATAAAAGAAGTATCAATGTTGTGTTTGTTTTATCATTTTATTATCGCCGGAAAGTACGTCGAATGTAATCCCTAAACGAGGAATCTATCTCTTGTTTGTCAGCGGGACGGCAACGTTGTTGCTCTCTTGTTAAACGGAGCGGCCCGTGGAGGATACGAGAGAGGGAATGACGAAGGAGCAGCATTGAGCCGACCGCCGCAACATCATGTAAAATATCACAAAAGACCAAACAACAACAAAAAAACCCAGATAGATTTCCTTTTGAAACATTAACTTTTCATCATCCTTCCCTTTAGGTTTGTCCGTCTTATGCCACACTGCAAATATGATTAAAGGTTGCAGCGACAGCACACAAGCATGAGAGACTCACAGCGGCTACAATACCATAACAGGAAGCTCACAGATAGAGCAGCTTTGGGGTGTTCATCCGTGCAATTCCAGTATGTGAGAAGAGGGTTGCGAAAGAAGAAAGAAAAAAAAATGTCAGCTCTGAGTTTGTTGAGAGCTCCCTTGACGGGGAGCAGAACAGGCTATTACTTCATATTGCACCATTTGAGCTGTTTTTATTTTGGACTCTCTGACTACTTCTACCAGCCGACACTGTCTCGGGGGATCGCAATCAGGCCTCAACAAGAAGAGGCAGACAGCTCTTAACAGTTTAAAGAGTTGTACACAGCGTGTGTGTCTCTTTACTCGATTTGAGGCGGGTTCTGACGAATGAGCTAATTCTCTCTGCGTTTGCGTCAACGGACTCTGGCTGTCACTCAAGCTCAATTTGCTTGGACTATTCTCATACTCTGCTAATCTGGGTGACGGGTTGTATAATGAGGTGTTTTGATCCTCAATTTATTCACACAGATGAGCTCAATATGCTATTAGAAGGCTCATATAAACATGGTGGCAAAGAAAGAAGTTTAAAAGTTTATTTCTCGGCGCTACCATTTGACCTTTGACGCCGAAGTGTTTCCATCTGTTTGAGTAACAATTGCTCCCTCTAGTGCTTGAGGGTTTTACGACTCATGCGGAGAGACTCGAGAGTAAAACCATGTTTCTTTTGGTTGATGGGAGGAGAGGCAGGCGTTCGTGTCAGGTCTGTAACTTCTCCTCAAGTACGAAAAGCGAATATCAAAGGCAGGACGGGGTTCACGAGGGACTTGAGAGTCGTTGAGGGGCGAAGCAAAGGGACGGAGCGAAGGTGAGGGGAGGTAAAAGTGCTTCAGAGAAGACTTTCAGATTTCAAGAGAGACCTTACATAATTTGTGCAGATGGTAGTTTGAGTGTCTCTATCCCCTCATGTCGCCCCTCTCGCTGCCAGGACACATTATCCTCTTGTTCCGGCGGGTTGAGGAGGACTCTTGATCCTGCACTGTGTGTGTGTGTGTGTGTGTGTGTGTGTGTGTGTGTGTGTGTGTGTGTGTGTGTGTTTGTGTGTGTGTGTGTGTGTGTCACTTTGAAAAACACACAAGCACCGCACACAGTCTCTGCTTCAGACAGTGTGAAAAGGAGGAAGCAGAAAAGACCACAACAGACCTTTTTCACACGGAACATCTTGAGTTCTCGTGTCTAAAGTCAGCTGCCAAATGCTGACAAGATGTGCAGACATGATATTCACCATGTTTTAGCAGCGTGTTATTTGCTTTGCGAATCATAAATGAGAATAATAGCAAATCATGCAGCAGTTGAACCATAGATTTGCACTAAGTCGGTGAATTCATATCCCGGTGTGTAAAGTGACTTGTGCCAATGCACCAACTAAATGCTGAGATATTTCACTCAAACAGTTGATGGTGATCAGGTGATCATGAAAGCCGTTAGCATTCATCTATTCTATTCATCTAATCCAATTGACTTTATGATTTTTTTCCTGGCACTCGCGGATACCGAAACACAATGCAAGTCAAACGATATGCAAATTGCATTTGTTGCTACATAAAGAAGGAGTTTGTCAGTCAGAGCATGTTGCTTGTTGGCCACAAAGTTAATCTCCTGCCGAACTCGACTGCCAAGCTGCTGTTTATGCTTGTAGAAAAGGTTTTGCTGTGAAAAGAAAAGTGGGTGTTTAATTCAAACGGTTTTGTGAATTTCAACAACTCATAAATAGGCAAAAATATTCCCCACGGCACAGACAGTAAAATATTAAAACGATCATTATCACCATATTCATTTAAATTATGATTTTTGAACTTGTAAAATTAAATTGCAATGTTTTGAATGGGAAAACTAATTGAAAACGTTGCATGTATTAAAAGTCAATAGCGATCATCCATTGAGCACTCTGAATGTTTCCAACCAATGTTATGGCCGTTCATTCAATAGTTGTCCAGGCATTTTTTGAAAACCAAGCATGTCTTTAAACGTCATGGTGGCGCAAGTAGGAAGATATAACGTCATGAATTGTTTGGAACCTGGTTATTTATATGTGTCAACAAACCGGATAGTTCAAAAAATGTAGTTCAAGATTCCGTGGAACAATGGCAACATGGTTTTCATAGATGTTGTCCATTCATGGCATTAAGCTGATGCCAAGATGTGGGCGTCAGATCTGGATTGAGATCATAGCAATAGAGATAACCGGCTCACAGCATCCAGCTACATGCTGGCCGAGAGGGAACCAAAAGGTCCTCCATGGGTTTGGGGTATTTGGAGAAGGATTATGAATTCACCTTTTTGCCTCAAACACTGAATCCAGTGTCAGGACAAGATCTAATGAAGTTACTGTTTGGTGTACTAATGTTCAGACTTTTTCTGGCCAACAATAGGCCGAGGAGTTCTAACATGGCTGCCGTTGTGCCGTGTAGTTAGTCCTCTTACACCTATTCTCTGCTGCAAAAACACAGCCCTTAATTTCTAAATTCTGCATTTCTTGCTTTGCTCTGACAGGCATTGCCATGGAAACACAAGACAGTGGTATTCCAACAAAGTGAAGATGAAGGCTGTGAGGAGTCCACCAGATCCTGAAGGGCTGGTAAAATTCCAGACCAAAGACAACGTTACATGCGCATCATCTCTCTGGGGGTTAGAATAAGACCATTAAATCCATATCTTAACAGCATTCCTACCAACAAACAGTCAATGTGAAGAACAGTAAGGATTGTATACAATCCGTGTGCAACGAAGCTCAACCTTGAAACGCTGTACTTTCAGTCCGTCACATCTTCCTGAATACCACTGTAAGTTTTACCGAAACAGCTGATTTAGAGCCTTTTTTCTATGAGTGTAATCTGGTATAAGTGCCCGTTTCCTCAAAAGTGAGGGCAAGCAATGGATTCTATTCTTGCCTCTTTTACAGATGTTGGTGTTAAACATTGATGCGGGGATAACGGCTGGGAGGGGGAGAGCAGGAGACTCCAGCTTCCTCTCATTTATGTTTCCTCTCATCCCTCTCCAGCATCCGATTTTGTTGAGTGCGAACATCTGTTAAAATGCAACTGCATAATGGCAGCGATTGAGAACGTAACAGCAAAGCCCAGCCTGTGTTATACAGTAAGACGTCTTTTTCAGTGCTGACTTAAATCTTTAATATAGATTCTTAGGCTTAACTTGGCATTTCTTATTCATGTATAAGAAAAGTGGCGATTCCTATGTTTTTATGGATACAAAGACCAACAAACAACCTTGAAAGTAGACATTTAATCTCATATAGATGGTTTACTTTCAATGTGATTAAAAACAACTATGAAAACTGTTTCTCAGCTATATTCCATAAAGCTCTATTCCTCAAGCTCAGACTCCTTGGAGCATATCCATGCACATAACAAATTTCATCTATCATCAAATTAACTGTTTGCATTGACATATTTTATACCTCCACTGTATAAACTGTGGCTCCGTCTTCTCATGACGCACTCATGACGCCTCAGCACATTCGCAGACCAAAGTCATGCTGTGCTTTTGCAGAACCACAGACACTTCCTGGCTGATTCCTTTCTGCTGAACTTACAGAGACAAGTTTCCGATCTTACCGCACATCGTCTTTAGCTGCTCCCGCAGACATGCAATGCTTTTTTTTTTACAAAGCTGCCTTGTATTTTGCCACAAATAGAAAGACGGTCCATTACATGCAGAAATAACTTTTTATTTAAGCTGGTGATACATTTAATCTGCAACGGGATAAATGCCTGTTCAATTTAAAAGGTTTGAAGGATTTTATTAATTCATGAATGCTAAATTATTTCCAGCAGCACGCGCAGTAAAACATTAATACTCTTTCTTGAGAACACAAGCAATAGATTCATTGAGATAATAATTGTTACACTTTGAATAACTATTAAAAATATATGTTATGGGCCACTTATTGAACTATAAAAGCTTATAAAAAAGAATAAGAAAAGAATATATTACATGGCACATACAAAATATTCTTCTTCTCTCAGCGCCTCCTCTGGTCTCCAGGTTCAGTCATCTGCAATGGGTTTTCCTTGCAGTGGGTGCACCTCTGCCCACAGATTTTGATCTGGCTTCTGTCTTCCCGAGGCTTTGTTTTTGCAAATCACCAACAGTAGTAGGAATATGACCAAAAGTGAGCAGATGAGGACAACTATAAAACCCCCCATCCAGATAATTGCCAGGCATTGTTGCTCAGAGACGGCTTTGACATCTCCTGCAATGAAGATGACAAAGAATGCTCTCATATGCAGAATTTAATAACATTTTCAAGCATTGTGATTTGCTGCATCCCATTCAAATGCACTTACCTTCTGCATACACATGAAGAGTCAAATATCCAGAGTTTTCCACTGCATGCTTCCTCCAGCCATGAGAAAGAGATGGGAGCCACTCTTCTACCTCACAGAAATACAGGCCACCATCTTCAGGACTTGGCTTCAAGAATGTAAGGCTGAATCGGTTTTGCAAAGCGTGGCCAAATCTTAGCTGATCACCCTTTCCAACCCAGTCTTGTAGGGTGGCGTTGCGGTAAGCTGTGAATAGGGGGCGTTTTTCAGTTTCTGTTCCTTTCTGCCAAAACCATGTGACCTGGAACTCAGACTCACTACTGGATTGGTGGGTGATATGACAGGGAATGGGGAAATCCTGCAATCGGCTTATGTTCAACAACTTGTCTTCCTTTGCTACGGACAGGTTTTTTTCTGTGAAAAAGAACACGGGTAAAAATAGTATTTATTCAACTTTATATTCACACAGAAAACCAGTAAATATGACATAATACTTCTAAGTATACGGACAGACAATGAAGTCATCAGAAAGAGAAGATTTTTAAACTAATCTGTAATACGAAAAGAGAAGTAGGGCATATGTACATTAAAAACCACATGCATAAAACCAATAGCACCACTAGAGCAAATAAAAAGCCCACACCATTAGATAAGTGGTATTTTGCTGAAGCCACACACAGCCACATTTAAGGTCTGGCAGCCTTGATCATACCTGCAACATTTACAGTCAGCTTGATGGGGCCTGTTCTGTCTGAGGCCTTTTGCTGCCAGTGTCCTTCCTGATCCAGCTGGTATTGCTCCACCGCGCACTGGTATGTCCCACTATCCTCCACATGGGCCCTCTGAATTCCCAGAGCGAAGCTGCTCCAAACAGGTCTGGAGAGACGGAATCGTCCCTGCAAGTCTCTGCGCTCTTGGTTCTCTGGGTAACTCAGCAGGCCCGTGTGGTCAAGCTCCACCAGGATATTTGTGGTGGAAGAATAACGTGCAGCATAGAGCCAAGAAACTTTGTAGAAAAAGGAAGAACTGGATGCACCCGACATGATTTTACACGTCAGCTCCACGTCGTCTCCCTCTCTGGCTTCTGGCGGATGCTGGTTGGAGTCCAAACTAAGGTCATTGACTGGAGAATGAGAGTGGACGGATAAATGAACACTTAACCAATCAAAAACATGTTTAATTATGTTTAGTTAAATCCCCCGACGAGCTCCCCCAAAAATGATTCTTACTTCATGCTGAAGTAAGCTAAAATCAAAGAGAGAGGATAATGGAAATCACTGAATGAGCCAGTTTTAGCATTTTGTGTTCATAGGGCCTCATCTTTATCAGCATGAAGCTTGTTCAGAAAAATGAGTTTTCAGCGGCCTATAAAATTGTATGGACAGCAAACAGTTGATGACGTGTGCTGGTAATTCTTAGTGAGTTATGTGGTGGAAGATTTTGCACAGACAATCGTTAAGTAAGAAACAACGGCTCTGAGTCAAGTATGTCTTTTCTCCGTTTATTTCCTTGCAAGGAAAAAAGGGTCACAACAACTACGTGGTCAGTAGACTGTCAAGAACCTCCTTTTCTCCCCAACACATCGAGGCAGTTCTTATACCTAAGTTTAGATATCGGTGGCGTCAACAGAAACCTTTGACCATCTTGTTGAGTATCTACAGCCAGGGTACTGGGAACATCTTGTCCATGTGAGACACGTCAGTTCTTTGACCGTGTCCTTGCTCTCCCAACATGCTAAAACAAAGGTGGTCATAGACATAACAAACACTTTGTTCAATCTCTACAGCTATGACGCTGGAAACATCTAATCCAAGTGGGAGACATCAGTTCTTATGTCAGGGCCTTTGTGATCTAACCACTTGCAACTAATAAACTGGTTATACAAATGAAGCATTTAAAAGGGTTACATATCATTTTCCCATTACAGTTATATTACACAAACTTACCAGGCTGACTGACGGTTAGCTCTGTCGTTTTGGACACCGGTGAGAGCTGATACCAGCCGCCATGAGGATCTTGCAGCCACTCCACCACCTCACACGTGTATGAGCCCTTGTCTGAGATCCCAACCTGCTGAATACTCAACTCAAAACTAGGGCCCTTGGTGCGCCTCACGCCGATTCGCTCCCTGTGGCTCTGCACTATCTTCGGATCGAACGTCACTAGGGCATCCTGGTCTGAGCTCACAATGGTCTTCTTTTCTCCCTGCTGCTGCAGCAGCCAGGTGACAGAGTAGCGTGAGGAAGCGGAGGTTTTGGAAACAACCGAGCATTTCATTTCTATGCCGGTGTTGACATTTACAGACATGGCAGCGGTGGTGGTCAGAACAAGTTTGCTCTCTATGAAAGGGCAAAAAATATGAGAAATAGAAGAGAAATAGAATGAACAATCCAGCTTTCATCCCAAATTGCTCCAAAAGGTGACATGCAGCTTCACAAATCTCGTCGGTACCTGGGTTCTGCACCTCAACGCCCAGGTGGTTGGATGCAGGCAGCTTCCTGTGAATCTCCTCCAAGAAGACAGACACCAAACACGTGTAGTTTCCCGCCTCCTCGTGGCTTGCACCATTGATGAGCAGATAGTAAATGACTTCAGTCACTTTGTTCTCTACTTTCAGCTGGTAGCGTTGCTGGTTTACAGACCAGCTGATGGAACCATTGGCGTACAGCGTCAGGATGTCTATGGTTGAGGCGCCCTGCTGCCGGCTCCAGGTCAGTGTCATTGGTAGGCGCGACCCTCTGACCCGGCACATCAACTCCGGAGTTTGTCCTACAGTCACCGCGTTGTTGCGACTCATGAGATTCAGTTTAACAAAAGAATCTGTGTGAAAAAAAAAATGTAAATCAGTCAGTGGTGGCGATTGAGAATGCAGAAGTTCATGATCATACAATTGACACGTGAGTGTGCAGTTGAAAAAGAGGTTGTGGGTAAGCTACATTTTAAAACCATGGTAACACTTTTTTACGCTGAGACAATTTTATGCCCACAAAATAGGCCTATACCTTAAATAATTTGTTCGCCAATATATCTATGTTAGCAACATAAAACATAGAACTTAAAACGGTCTTAAGACAAGAAATTGCATTTGTCATTATTTTATGCAAATACTGCATATGCATTGAGGCTAGAGTCAATGATTTAGTACCATTACAACAAATGTCTAAAAAGGTCTGAACAGTTTCTATTTAAAGTTGTGAAATTTAACCGTGTAATATCTATTACACACGACGCAACAAACGTTTCATTTTCTCTTTAACTATACTGAAAGCTAAAAGTTTGCTTTTTACATCCATCCATCCATCCATCGTCAAACCGCTTATCCTGCACACAGGGTCGCGGGGGGGCTGGAGTCCATCCCAGCCAACTTCGGGCGATAGACAGGGTACATCCTGGATTGGTCGCCAGCCAATCGCAGGGCTACACAGAGACACACAACCATTCACACATCTACGGGCAATTTAAAGTCCCCAATTAACCTGATCCCCAGAGCATGTCTTTGGACTGTGGGAGGAAGCCGGAGAACCTGGAGAGAACCCACGCAGACACGGGGAGAACATGCAGACTCCACACAGAAAGGCCAGTGCGCGGAATCGAACCCAGGACCTTCTTGCTGTGAGGCAACAGTGCTAACCACCACGCCACCGTGCCGCCCTTTGCTTTTTACAATCCAGAAATAATTTCCACATGATTGCACACGTGTCTTGAGTTCCTCATTAATTTGGTGTGAATCATTGGTCATCACAGACAGAAGGAGATATTTCTCACCTGCAGGAGTCACAGTCACAGTGGCACTCTGAGACTGGCTCTGGGTCTTGGTATTGATGTTCCATTCAGTCACAGCACACTGGTAGACCCCTGAATCTGAAGGCCTGACTTCATCAAGCTCCAAGGTGAAGGTGTTGGTGGCAGGACGCGTCGCGCTGACTTTGCGGCTCTTGAACTCCTCCGCCTTCTCCGCAACACCCGCCTGACTTAGACTGATGACACTGGCAAAGACGGCCGTGGTTGTTGATCTGCGTTGCCAGGTGACAGACAGCTGACCTTTGACCCCGAGCACTTCACAGCTGAGCTCCAGCCGGTAGCCTTCGTTAACACTCCCAGGGTTTCGCATTTTAACTGACAGCGCACTTTCTGCGATGAGACATGGCATGACAGATTAATGATAAGATAAGAAACAAAACTGATTCCTAAAGGTAAGAAGAGTTTGTGTGTGTGTGTGTGTGTGTGGACACATTTGCTGACTCACCTGGGGCTGAGATGCTGACCAGCTGGGAGTCGGAGTGCTGGACTGCTCGCTCAGTGAAGCCCCCATCCGGGCCTCGGTCCAGAAGCCTCGCTCTACACACATACTCCCCCCGGTCCTCGGTTCTGACAGACTGCAAGGTGAGGCAGTACTCTCCCTCCCCCTTCCGGGCTGCCCTCAGCTCTCCATCTCCCTCTCTCCTGCTGTACTCGGGCCCGACGGACAGAATGCCTGTCGGGCCAACGCGGGCCAACTCAATATTTCCCCTGAGCCAGGCTACAGAGAAGAACCTTTTCTGCAGGTCGTGGAAGTTTACGTGGCAGAACAGCGACAGCTCCTGCCCCTCCTGCAGAGTATCCGCCGGTGCCGAGATACGCACCGTCAGGGACGACATGTCTGGCAACACGTCTACTCACAGCGAGGGAAGAAAAAAAAAGAAAAGAAGCAAGACAGTGAGACACGGAGACATATGAATCCTGTCAGAGAAGCTTTGAAGAACAAAGCAGAACGCTTTGACTCATATCAATACGTGCTGTTTGATGGATCAAATCAGTTATATGAAAGATGTTTCCAACCTCTGGCTTTAACATTCAGGGTAGTTTCCTTCCCATCGCTTTGAGCGATAATGTACCAAGAGCGGTCGGGATCTTGGATCCACTGCTGAGCCTGGCAGTAGATCCGGCCTTGGTCGGAAGGCTCCAGGTGAGCTATGTTCAGCTTGTACGTGGCCTCTCCCAATTTATCTAACTTTATGACTCCAGCCTGGTGCCGGTCTTTAAACCTCGGGCCCGGGTTTAGTGTGAAATCTCTGTCCAGAGAGATGATGGGGTGAGCGCTGTCCTCGTCGTCTTTACGCAGGTACCAGGCAAGAGACAGGTGGGTGTGCTGGACGGTGTTGGTGGAGGCATGGCATGTCAAAGTGAAAGCGTCCCCCTCGTTATAGCTCAGTGGGGTGGAGGCAGGTGATGAAACACTGAGGGAGTTGTCAATCACTGTGGAACCACAACCAAAACAGAGACAGAGACATTCGATGTCATACATTTTTGTCGTCTTAAGATACAGCGATGCAATTGCATTGAAAAGTATGTCTTGAAGCTCAAAAACTCAAAAACGGTGACTTCTTACCTTTTAATGCTGTCTCGGCGCTGTAGGTTCCATCATAAACAACTTCTGAGTTGACTACAGTACAGTGGTATTCACCCTCATCACCTTTCCCGAGGCTTTGTATCTTAAACAAGACTGAGTTTGGAGTGACATGTGTCAGGGTGATCTCCTTGCTCCCCACACGCCTTGCGTACACGGTGTAGCTGAAGTTTGGGTCCCCCGTGCTGATGATGTTGATCTCATTTGGATTTGGCGGATTCACAAAACGGAATTGAAAGTTTTTTTTAGCGGTGTCACTGAAAAAACCACTCACATTGCAGGAGATGGAGAGCGGAGAGCCCACCACGCGATACAGAGGCCCAGCCTGAACTTGGGTGTTCACTCTGGCGTCTCCTGTGTGAAGCACAGACAAAAAAAAGAATGCTGAAGTCAGTTGAACATTGAACCTTGATGATTGAGACCTTTATCATATGGGTGCTGCAATCTGCTGTTTGTAGACATGGGAAGCTAAGAGAAAAACTCCTGCGCACTGTTGCGCTTGAAAATATTTATTTGATCACGTCAGACTGACCGTTATTTTCAAGACTTCCTACTAGCACCTTTTACACAACAAGGTGTGCCCAGTCTTTAATGTTATGTAAATGCAAAGTATAAAAGCTTTACAGTCTTCAATAAGCTCTGCAAATTGTATGAAATATGAATTTTTTACATTTGCATTTATTTGTCAAAAGCATCTATTTTTTAGTCATTTGTTTGCAGTTAAATTGTTTTTTCTGAAATGAAGATAACATAATAACATAAGTGAATCATCAATTAGGAATAAATTAGTTAATTCACAGAAATTATTAACATAATTACCAAAAACATACAAATAGATACATGTTGCTTAAAATGTACATGGAAAAGTGGCTATGCTTATTTGTAAATAATTGTTGTTATTAAAAAATAGCAAGTTGAAGTTGGACATTACGCCTGGCGCACTACTAACCAGCTTGTCTCCACTAAATCTCCTTTTCAAAAATCCTTTCTTTTATATTTTTTTACTTAGGTTTTAACAAAATGAGTCCTACAATCCAATTGCAGCCATTCAATGTATACTACTTACCGCAGCGCAGTAGTCCCAGACAGAGGAGTAAATGGGTCCTCACCCAGGATGGCAGGAAACGCTTCATCCTGAACCTGCCTCAGAACTAACAGTGTTCACACCATTGGACCCGAGAGCGGCCCTCAGCATATGTCCCTGTGTGCGAGAACCAGCCTCTGTGCCTGCAACGATATGTCGGTGGTTGAGGCTTCCTGTACACTAAGAGGAAGTCTGAAATGTTTCCTGCAGGCCTCACACGTTATTGCGTTATTGTATTTGTAGATTTATTGTCGCTTTGCCGCTTAAATGCATTGAAATGCAAATGTTCAAGAAAAAGCGTTAGGTCTTAGATCTATCTTAGATCAATCTTAGATTGATTGATTTACGTCAGGTTTAGGGTTTAGAGTTATGGATGAGTTGATTGGAAAATCCACTTTATTATGTGGATCATTATGGGTTCATGTAGGTCCGTGTGGTTAGACGGAAACGTAAAAATGCCGCCTTCTGTATGACAATTACATCTCTGACAAATAAAGAAAAGGAGGGTTATGGCTTTCAGCCCAACTTTTAAAGAGCAAATAAGGTTGGACTCATCTCAATTACGCTTGTATGTTCCCAGTGGGGCTGTAGTGCCGCTTAGTGGAGAAGATGAAAGCATGCATGTCAGCTGTGTAGTTTCACATTTTAGCATCCATCCTGAGTCCATGAGTCACTGCTCTGCTTTGCGTGTCTGTTCATTGAGTTAATATTAAATGCGGTGTTGATAACGGAGGAGTCCGCAGCACGAGAGACGTCAAGGAAAATACAGGTAGAGAACTAGTTCAATGAGGACAGAATGATTTATCAATTTGTTCTGCATACTCTTTTCGGCCTAAACAAAAGATGCATTATGTACTGACCAATGAGACCTTCCGATTTGTAAGAAAACCGTGCAAATATTTGTGCAGCAGGAATCTACGATACAATACATACATGTGATGGAACTGGCCTTTGTGTAACATAATCTAGGCCTTACAAAGCTATATGACTGTGCAAGTGGGTCACAAGTAGAAACCCCTCTGAAGGGTCAAAATCCCAAAAGATTGTAACCGATGAGACGAAGGGCTTTGCTCACGAGCACTTCAGCCACCAAGACAATCAAACAGAAAGAAAGTTGAAAGAAAATGTACAGACACAAAACAAAAGGTTCAAGGCTTTATGCCTATTTATTTACAGAATGATCTACCTGGTGTCTGTGTTCCAGAGAAAGGAGGGAAGTCTGGTTATTTAGGGGAAATTAACTCAGCACCAGAACAGGAACTGTCTAGAAACAAGCGTTGCTAAATATGTTTGCTCCTTGCAGAACAGGAACAGGAAGTATGTGTCGGCGAAAACCCGACCCACATCTCAAAGTGACACAACGGTTACGGGCTAAATCGCACAGGTCTTTTTAACAGCCGTTAAAAGACCCGTTCTTGCCAATTTGCTGACGTAAAAGATGGGCGAATCCTTGGAGAGGACCACAGAGGGGCCCTTGATGCCTCTTGCAGAGGAACCCGGCCGAGACGAGGAGGGAAACAGCCCGACGCGCTCCAGCGAGTTACGCTGGGAAGATGAAGGTCTACCCATGGAGCTGCAGAGAGGGATGGAAACCCTACGAGTGAACAGGGAACTGACCGATGTGGTCCTGTGTGTTCAGGGACATGAGTTCCCTTGTCATCGAGCCGTACTCGCCGCCGCCAGTCAGTACTTCAGGTGAGATGGAGCCACAGTTGTCTCAAAACACTGTACTGGCAGTGCTGGTTTTTGACCCCCTTTTTCTCCTGCGGCAGGGCCATGTTTTGCAGCGGCCTGAGGGAGAGTCGTGAGAAGCATGTGGAAATAAAGGGCTTGGACAGTGGCACGATGAGCTTTCTCCTGGAGTACACCTACACCAGTCGAGCCCTCCTTACAAACTCAAATGTCCAGAGAATACTGGAGGCTGCCAGTCAGTTTCAGGTAAAACAACATCTACTATCAATAAAAGTTAAAGAAGATTAAGATTAATGTTCAGCATTGGAAAGTGAATGCCAGTAAAAGAAAAATATTGCCTCAAAAAGTGGATTGTTATTGCTTGATAGCAGCATTAACATCAAGTACACTTTAGATTCAAAATCTTTGTTGAAAGTAAAGCATTTGATGAGATTGTCAACATACCCTCGAGAGAAAGAAAAAACACTTTCCCTTTTAGCGTTTGACACATCCAACCCAATTTGTTGTCAAAGAGTTTTATCAGATGAGGAAGTCCGTCCAATTCTATGCAAGTGTGAACTCATACACGATCATGTGGTTCTCCGATGTCAGTGAAAACACAAGGAAGTGTTTATCTCACATAACATCAATAGAATACATCTAATATCTTCTTACTACGTGTCATTGATTTCCTTAGAAGGGGCACGCGGTTTAACACAAAGGGACGGTATCAGCAGTTACAAAGAGTCTGCATGCAGACAGACAGGGTCTATTACAGTGATATCAGCTCGGCGACCCTGCGGGCGGTTTAGAACTACATTTCATATCTTACAATTGTTCCCCTCAGTGGAACAAACATCAAACTGAGCCAGACACAAGTGAAAGAGGGAAGCGAAAGTTGCCTTGTTGTTTACGCTTGGGATCTGTTCTCCACATAGTCCTAAATTAAATACACAGCTGTACCACACCGGGGAGGGGGGGGGGGCAAGTTTCTTGTTTTGTTATTAAAAAGAGGTTTAAGGACTCTTACTTTTTGGGGGTTAGGACAGAGGTTAGAATAATAACAACTTTTTATACAGCCCCTTTTCTAATCCGAGTTAGAAAAGGGGCTGTCATCCGAGGGCCTCCTCACTTTTCATCTTGCTGGCCTCGTCTCTTGTAGTTCCTGCGCGTGGTGGATGCATGTGCCGGCTTCCTGACCAAGTCTCTGAACCTGGACAGTTGCATCGGCATCCTGAATCTGGCCGAAAGCCACGCCCTGCCGGCGTTGACCAGCGGCGTTCGAGACTACATCACCGCCCAGTTCTCCCAGGTGGTCCAGCAGCAGGACTTCCTGGAGGTGCCGGGGGAGTCGCTGGAGGCCGTCCTCCAGAGGGACGACCTCGATGTGAAGTGCGAGGAGCGCGTTTTCGAAGCCCTAATGCGCTGGGTCAGAGCCCGGCAGGAGGAGCGCTGTCCTTCGCTGGCCAGGTTACTTTCATTTGTGCGACTGCCACTGTTGGAGCCTGCTTACTTTGTGGAAAAGGTGGAGTCAGACGAGTTGATTCGACGCTGCAGCGAGGCGTTTCCTCTGCTGCAAGAGGCCCGCCACTATCACCTCACCGGCAGGGAGGTCAGTATGCAGCCAAGGCCAACAAATGCGATATCACATCTGAGATTATATGTATAACAAAATTCTGGTAGGATATTTTGGAAAAATCACATCACCGGTGGCAACAGTTGCCTTTTACCCTTTAACATTCGGCATATCTTTAGGGATGTAGAGTGAATACAAACAATCAATTTCATTGTTTTATGTGTTGTGCGTGCCGCGTACTTGTACGACGGGTTCACAGGTGGTCTCTGAGCGAACAAAACCCCGCGTGCAGCACTTTCTGTCAGAGGTGTTCCTGATCATCGGAGGCTGCACTAAGGAAGAGCGCTTCGTCTCCACCGTCACCTGCCTGGACCCTCTCAGACGCAGCAGGCTGGAGGTTGCCCGCCTGCCAATCACAGAGATGGAGGATGAATCCCAAAACAGGAAATGGGTGGAGTTTGCCTGCATCACCTTCCGCAATGAAGTTTATATATCTGGTGAGCCCCATTCCCCGTTCAGGTTTCATTCCACGAGGTATTAATATGTTTAGGAGATGTGCAGATGGAAGTGAAATGACTCCACCTTATTCATGTTCATCGTGGCAGGTGATTGTAGAAGCTTATCTTAGTCAAACATTAGTTTTACAACCAGGCAATTCAGAGCTTAGCAACTGAACCAAACAGCAGGAATAGTGTGTGCAGTTGCTGTTTCGAAGTTTAGGTGTTTCCCAAGTCAGGAACTAACACCATAGCTGTGGTTACATTAAACGTTCAGCAACGTCTAAGCTGTGAAAGTTCAGAGTAGCTTGTGTGAGTTTCCATCAGAATAAAACAGTGTCAGGCCCAATGTAGAATACTAATACTAACGATTCAGTGACCATATATTTGAATGCTTGCAGGAGGTAAAGAGACACAGCATGATGTTTGGAAATATAATGGGGCCCTGGACAAGTGGATCCGAATTGAGTCCCTGACGACTGGCCGCTGGCGACACAAGATGGCCGTTTGTGGGGGAAAGGTGTATGCACTGGGTGGATTTGATGGAGTTCACAGACTCAATAGCGTAGAGGCCTACGATCCCTTCCACAATCGCTGGATGAAGGTAAACATAGAATAATTCAATAAATAATAAAGGGATTTTGTGAATGTTACGTCAAATGTTCCTTGATACATCTGGAATTAAAAGTGTATATAATGACGATATCAGGCGTTGGGACAAACTCAAAGAACATTATCCCCTGTCTCACCAATTCATTCCTTATTTATTCCATAGATATTCAATTATTTTCTTATCATTCAACGCTTTCAACACTTTGGAGCTCCATAATAACCATCAATTACTACACTGTTACGGTGGACATTAAGTGTTCTATTGTCCACATTACATTATGCTGATGCCCTGTTGGCTCTCCTCGCAGGTGACACCTCTCGCAGTAGGTGTGAGCTCATTTGCTGCTGCAAGTTTTGACAGATGGATCTATGTGATTGGTGGCGGGCCGAACGGAAAGCTGGCAACAGATCAGGTTCAGTGTTGGCAACCGGGGACAGACAGCTGGGAACTGCGGACCCCCATTCCCATCGAAACCAAGTGCACTAATGCGGTCACCTTCAAGGACTGCATCTACATAGTGGGTGAGTTGCTCGTGTTGAATGGTGACTGAGTACATTTACTGAGGTATTTCGACTTTACATTTTCATTCCATGCATCTTTATATCTTTTCACTCTACTGCATTATTTTATTTTTCATTTTATTGATTTATTTAATGCAGGACGATGCACATAAGAAACATTTCTTTATATGTGCCAGTTAGCCAAAAAGGCTATTTTTTAATTTGTAGTCCCAAGACGCAGATGTTGTAAAGTTAAAACAGGAGGTACTTTTAAAAAGGTTATCCAATGTTGACGCTTCACAATGCGTGCACAGAAAGAATAAAACTCATTGTCAAGTAGGGGACAACCAACCATTTCTTTAAATGATCTTTAAACAAACTGTATGTTTTCCGTTCTCTAATGGTCACTGGGATGGAGTTGCATTGTAGTGCACCGTGTAGTGAAAATGCTGACAACTGAAAGCACTTTTCCTGAATGGGATAATGCTGCACCTCTTGTGAGCCGACATCCAGTTGTTCTTGTGATGATAAATCGGTTGAGCAGAGTAGAGGTCAAGCAACTTTTACTTAAGAATCTTTTACATGAGACCAACATTAACATATTTATTAATGTTCGCCGACTTAAACAAGTTTTTTTTAGTATAGGCAGTGATGGCAAAAACAATAGATTACTATGGATTCTATATTTTGTCAAAATAGTTGCTCCATCACTGCATGGTGGATTTTTATTTGGAGTATGTGTATACGTACGTGTGGGTTTTATTCTTCAATGTGAGATGAACACAACATGCAAAAAGAAGTGTGGACAGAGACATTTGATTGACGAATGATTGCTTGTAATAAGATTAAGAAAACTTAAATTTTGGTAGTTCTTCAAGAATGTGGTCATCTGTGTCGTGTTTCTTGTGAGAGAAACAAAATATGCGTATTTGTCTATACTTTTCCCTCCTTCTGCCCTCTCCCAGGCGGCGCCATGCATGCCATGTACTGCTACTCGCCCCTGTCAGACTCCTGGACCCTCGTGACCCGTCCAGGCGAGAGGGCGAGCTGCGCCATCGCTGCCTGCAACAACAAAATCTTCATCACGGGAGGACGGGATGACAAAAACCAAGTTATCTCCACGGTGATGTGCTGGGACTCCACCAAAGGGGTGCTGACGGAGGAGTGTGTTTTACCGATGGGAGTGTCCCACCACGGCAGTGTGACACTCATGAAGTCCTACACACACATACACAGAATAACACCTGCTTCAGAGGGCCAATGACATCGCCTCTTGTGAACAGCACCGGGAGGGTGCCAATTTTTTTGCATGCGTTGCTATGTACATTTTATTGTCATTTTTTGCAGCTTTAAGCGCGTCACTATTTTATACGATGAAAATGTTATGTAATTAATTGCTAAAGCGGACTTTAGAAATACGTGTTTCATGGCTTTCAGTTCACACAAAGCTTGCTGAGGTTGATAAAATGAACATATGCATATTGTAATATCGCCTCAAGGACTTTTTTGGGAACCTTACAAAGCGCTTGCACTTTTCTTAAAATGTTTTTGATAATGTTTTACACACGAACACACAATCACACATGAATGTTTTTCCATTACTTCAATCATTTCCAGAAGACACATTCTAACAATAACCATAACTGCTATTGGCCTAATACAAACCCTCAAACAAGATGAATAATGGTGATGAATCATACTAACTTGTCAAAAAAAGCACTGAAAGTAGTTTAATAAATGAAAGACATGAATAGTTGGCAGCCTGCTTAACCAGGTAGACCCGTTCCTCAAATCCCTCAAACATTTCTACCGGAAAAGAATTTCTCTCCGGCACATAAGAATAGAAAACCACTCACACGTCAATCAAACGGACAAGCTTCCTGTAAATTTTCAAAATAAAATGCACTAACATAAAGTCGTAACAAAGTTACAAAGGTCAGTAAAATCATAAAAATAAAATAACGTTCATTAGAAACGGACTTTTTCGTCACCTCAATGCTGAAGTTGATGAAATAAGGATATAATGTGTTATTGTATTCATGTACAAATTCTAAAGTTATTACCACACCTGCTGTGGATGTGTGGCCATAAAGGGTATTTTATTATGGAAAAGGGAAGTCATAAAGTCATTTCATCCTTCAGCTTACCTGCAGCTCCCAACGACTCGTGTAGGAGCACCTGGACGTGAACAGTCGTCTCAGCCTGTTAAACCTGCTCGTAGATAATAATCTGTGGACTTTACCCTGTCGAGAAGGAAGGTCGTCCACTTTATTCACCCGTTTCACCTGAATCATTAACACCTGCTACGAAGTGAAAGTAAATGTAAAACGCGGCTGCACAAGAGATCTTTTTGTGCATTTCTTCCGAAATGGCTGCCTGGTATTTTCTCATCTGTTTCCTCGCCATTCCCTCGTGCCTGGGTGAGTTTACGCGTCGGTGATACTAAAGGTTTATACTTTTGAAAAGTAGTTTTTCAGTCCTATGACTTCTTCTGGTATGAATCTAATATCCTTCTGAAAACAATCCACTTGGAATGCAGTGATAGTCTGAGGACCAGGAGAATACCTGATACACCTGATCCTTTGACTACACACCTGTAGTTACACCTGTACACCTGTGCTGTAAAATGATCATTCTGTTGAGATTATATGAAGGTTGCAGTTTGTGTGCTTTTATGTTGGATTGAATTATCATTAAAGTTCTGACAAAATAATCTTGATTTATGGTTTGACTGAGGAAATGGCTCAGATCCCATCGTGTTATTTAAGTTATGTTGGGAGGTGGTGCTACATTGAATGAATCCGTCAATCTGTGTCCTTGTTCTTTCTCCATTTGTTCTCTCACTCCTCGGCCTTTATTTGGACTCCTTAGCTGACAATCTAGTAAAAAAGGCCACGTGGGTTTTCATTCGTGCTCTAAAACCTGAAAATGTTCACTTTATTGCAAAGAAAGTTAGTCTCACGATTGAGAAGAAGGAACAAGAGAATATTTGACAATGTTGCTCATAAACAATCACGATCAATACATTTACAAAAATGTTTTGAATTGAATTTCTTTATTGATCAACTTTAAAACAAATCCCTTTGTCTTTAAATCAGTGATCACGGTGATAACAAAATGCACCATTAACATGTATTCATGTTAGAGAATATTAGAAAGAGCTCTGCATGATGCTCTGCAGTACAACACTAACAGTGACGACTCTCAGAGGTGATCGTACATTTAAATCAACACCTTTTCAACACAGTGTGAGCAAATACTGAACATTAAGGATTGAAACAAATAGGATCCATCGCTGATTTATTTGTATTGCATTATATTAGATTGTACAGATGATCACCTATTAACTCAGTGTCCAGGTCAGTTGGGTTTCCATCACACACTTCAATGTTACAAATAATGCTGCATGTTTCTTTACGTCTCTGTTCTCCTTCACGTCTCTGTTCTCTGTGTCTAGTTTCTGGACAGTCTTCAACATTTGGTCTCAAAGGGGGAAAAGTCTTCTTGAAGCCACACATCACTGGACATCCTGATGGAATTCTGTGGAAATTTAAAGGCAACAAAGTGGTAGAGTTTGATGGCCAACAGCAACAGGTGTTCAGGCCATATGAAAACAGGATCACTCTCAACTGGGTCACTGCAGAACTCAATATCGCTGACCTCAGATCGGAAGACAGCGGAGACTACGTACTGGAAGTAGAGATCAATAACGCGTTGCGTACTTCTTACTATGCACTGGAGGTCATGGGTACGTTTAAAAAAGCAAAGTGGTTAAAAGCAGTTAACTGATCACCAAAGGAACCTGCCGTTAAAAGACCAAACAAACAACGAAAAAAAGGATCTTTTCACGGTTCGCTTTTTTTACAACTTCTCTTTGACACTGATCAACAGAAAACATTGAAACAGTTCCACGCCTCCAATGAGAGACACTGTGAATGCAACAAATGTGCAGGCTGACTTTTCCAACTGCAACATAATTGTCAAGTTTTAAAGAGGAAGCTAAAACAGGGAGCATTCTGAATATCACTGCAGTAACGATAAACATTGTTAGCTTTGGAGGGTCTGTGAAGGCCAAAGAGGACATTAATGCAGGCCAGCTCTGTAAGGCAAGGAAAGTTTATTTCTATGGTACATTTTAACAGCAAGGCAATTCAAAGGGCTTCACATTAAACATTACATTAATCATTAGGGTTAGGGTTAAGGTTATAGACACACTTTTATGCCCAGTCAAATATTAATGAGTTGCAACTACATGTTATCAAGAATCTAGATCTTTAAAAAAATGGTTTGGTTTTCTGTTGGTCAATGTGAAAAAAGCTCATTGAATTGAATGAGGAATTTTATCCAAACTTGACTGGGACTGTAATTGTTAGTAAATCAAACAGCAGTGCAGAAGCTGACTTGACTGATGAGACATGACTGAGATCACACAGCCAACAATATCACAGAGATCCACACATCAATTCCATTGTTATCTCGTAATATGTTACCCATGTTTATTGTCATATTTGCTTAGTCTTTTATTACAAGTTCAGACTTTACTCCCATGAAAATATTGTTGAAGTCAATATACACTTTTATTCATTGTGAAAGTAGCAATTCCTGTGAATTCATATATCAGGATGAAGTCAGTGAGTAGTTGGCATTGGTGTCCTGTCTTCTGCCAACAGTCATTGTCGTCTTGACATCTTTTCATAATTAAACTCTTAACTAGTTTGAATCATGACCCTGATGTTTTCCTATTATTAAACCTGATACTTCAACTTATTCATACATTTAGATCATAGAGGAACAGATAATCGTTTATTCATTAACTCTGTGTTTATCGATGTATTCATTAAGACAAAGTCAGCAGACCCACCATTTCCTGTAAGATGAACGGCGGCGGCAGCTTGAACGTATCCGGAGAGCTGGTTTGCTCTGCAGAGCCTCAACCCTCACTGAAGTTTGAGTGGGGAGCTCGTGGAAACGTGCAGCTCGGCCCACAGCTACAAATACCTCTGGGGGATGAACATGATGATGAAGTGTACAGTTGTAGTGTGAGCAACCAGCTGAGCAAGGAAACAACTACATTCACTGGAAAGGATTGTTACCCAGGTAAGATTTCAGCTGGACTCTCAGTTTTAAAGTCGCCCACCATTCCAGATGTTTAAATAGACACTTTAGACTTTAGAGTTTATTTAATACCAGTGGTTACAGGGGAAAAAGATGAGACAGGAAAAGGAGTAGAAGTGTTTCCTTCACCTCATCAATGATATTAATATGAATAACCTAAGTATTGTATTAATAGATCTCTTTTCAGCTTCAACGTGAATATACAGAATGAACAAGAGAAAAGATGTTGAGATTCTAGAATAATATGTCCAGTTTTACAGTACTCATTGAATGTTGTTGGTACTGAATGTAATGTAATGCAAAGCTGCTTTAAATATAAACTTTGGTTTCTGTGCAGAAGGAAGTTCGTCTGCAGTACCGATCACCATTGCAGTCATCATTGTTCTTGTGTTGCTCCTCGGGTGTGTGGCCATACATTGTTTTAAACGACACAATAAAGGTAACAAATCTGAATAATTACACCTTAACCAGAAATCTTGATCTAAAAAAGGAGTACTAGTTGATATACTGACATACAGTAAATATACACTGATGTATATGGATAGTTAACATTTAAACATAGTAATAAGTTATTATGATAAGTTGTATATGGGGCAAGATTCCCTCTCATCTAGAGATTAACAGCATGAAGTTAAGACTATATAGCTGCAGCATTATTTAACATTATATTGACTCCTAATTCCCACATTAAATGCAACTAACATTTTCCGTTTCCTTCAACTTTTTCTGTCCTCATGCTCTCGGCTCCAGCATGTTTTGCAGAAGAAGACGATTTGGAAAAACAATCCCTATCTGGATGTAAAGAAGGTATGAACTTGTATGTTTGCTTCAACCAGCAATTGTTTGGCTTTGATTTGGCATAAAATACTTCAAAGTTGTTCATATTAAATGTCTGACAAACTGTATTTCAGTGATAATAATACCATTAATAAAATCATACTATTTATTATGTTACAGATTATCATTTATTGAAACTATTATGAACTAAACCAGGAAGCATTATTTGTTTACTTTCCATGCTCTCGCTTCTTTTTTTTTTTACAGATGAAATGACTAAACAAGAGGAGATCCCAAATAAAGGTATATAATATATATAAAACCAGTTTTCATATTAACTTACACATTGCAGAAATAGTTTTATAAAGTAATGTGTGTGCTTTTCACTTTTTTAGGGCTTGTTGAAAGGCTAAAAAAACGTCTTGGATTGGAAGGTAACTTTTAGTTAACAAACATAAATGGTTTGCTAGAAGCTGTAACAATAACAACAACAATAACTGATGTTTATTTTCATTTGCAATAGACAAATTGTATTAACTCATTTCAGGCAGCAGATGTTTGTTGATGAAACAAACATCTTCTGTCTAACAGACATGATTGTTACACAGACACAATCAATCATAGGAGGCCTTTGACCGATATCTGCAGGAATATCTATTGCCTTACATTCCAATAATGTCGGTGTATTTTTAGCTTAAAGTCACATAAGAATTTTTTTTGTTTTTATCACTATATTTTACATTTCAATCTGTTTCAGGTTCAAATAAGAGGGAAGGTCAGAATAATGTAAAACAGAGTCTCGTACACAGAGAATCAACTCTTCCCTCTAAGCAAAAACTTTTCCAAGGGAATAAATATAGAAGGACTAATACATTTTCTGACAAACCAAACGAAGCGACGGATTTGCACCGTGAAAGTAAATGCTGCAAAGAAATCTGTTTATATGCTATAACAGCAATGTCTAAATTGATGAATAAAAATCAAATGATTTAAATAACATACTCAGTTTCATATTAAAAATAAATGTTTATATTATGCATCAACCAATTTAATCAAATTAGGTTTTGGTAATGATAATAATACCATTGAAAAAATAGTATTTATCATGTTATTTTTGTACTTTCTATGGATTATATACATATCCATGACTCATATTTTTAGTTTGTTGTGTATTTTGTTTATTTTACGAAAATTTGCAATGGTTTCAGTAAATGTGTTTTGCATTATAATTGATTGAAAATATTATGAACTAAACTAGGAAGCATTATTTGTTTACTTTCTATCCTCTTACTCTTTTTTTTTTTTTTACAGAATCTGAGTCGATGCCAGAAGAAGGTGACTATGTTTTCATAATAACTTATACATCGCAGAGAGAGTTTTATAAAGTAATGCTTGTGCTTCTCAGTCTTTCTAGGACATGTTGAAAACGTGAAAAAAAATGATATAATAATATGAATGAAATTAGGAAGAATTATTTGTTTACTTAACATAATGCGTGTGCTTCTCATTCTTTTTAGGGCATGTTGTAAATGCAAAAAAACGTCTTGGATTAGAAGGTAACTTTTAATTCTCAAACATTAATGGTTAGCTAGCAGCTGCAACAAAAAATGTTTACAAATGCTGTATTACTTATATTCTTTATTAGTTAATTGATCAATTAACAGTCAATTAACAGTAAGCTAAAAAAAAGAGAAAGTAAGATTGACTTTAAATATTAAAGAAGAATCTCTCTCGTAACAACAAAGGAGATGCAGTCCAGCCCAAAGAGCCTCCACAGGAACAAGACCCACTCATCAACCAACCAGACTCACACTCTGCTGG